ATGCAATGTGTTTATGCGGTTTAAGGTTCAAAAAACACATTTTCCATAGAATGCACATTATTGTTTCTCCTCTATGCCCCGCCTTTCTGAAATGCATCGATTTTTACAAAACTCATCGTTCTGAAAAAGTGAGGTGTGCTCTGACTGGCCAGCTATCCAGTGCATTGTGATTGGCCGAATACCTCAAGCGGGTGACGAAAATGTTACGCCCCTTACCATACTGTGATGCCGTCTCCCAGCAGGACTAGACAAAACCAATAAAATCCATTACAAATGAGGCATTTGTTGCATCCAGTGGGGACATAATTACTGATTATAATGACTTATACTGTCTTTGTTAAATCACCATTGGTAGCGCAATTTATTGTAATGCTTTTTTCCTCAGTTGGTCAGAACAAACGTGGCAGACTTGTTACTTGCTTGTTTAGATGACAATATCCGGTGAAAATGCTTATTTGGGTCATATATTCCAAGACGTAGGCTAGAATCTGTGATTGCGAAGAACATTAAATATCCACAACGGTGTGGTGACTGACTGCCACACATACTCCTCAAAACATTAGATTCATCTGCGCTGGAGCCGAGCCGGAGCACAACCCATGCAAGGAAGATAATTCCGCACACAGCTGCAATTGCAGGTTTTCAAACAGAGATGGCGAAAACTTACGGACTGCAGCATTAAAAACCTTTTCCACGATCACTAAAGAACCTTTTGTGCAAAGGTCCCATGGATGTTAAATGTTCTTCTTGAAACCATAGGCACCAATAAAGAACCTTCATTCTTAAAAGTGAATAAAATATTTTAGAGCTTGCCTTGTATTAACTAGTACTCCTATCTAGAAATCAGTTTTAATATTAGGCTACCTCATTTATATTCAGGTTTTCTATGACCACATGAGAGACCTGGTTCTTCCAAAAAAAAAAAAAAAAAAGGGGTTTTACCCCAATATTGTTCAAGGCCCCAGGCCATATTAATGATAAAATGATTGTGACGTCTTGCTTCGTAAATTGTTAAACTTCTAATATGTATCTACAATTAATTTAAAATAGCAAAAGTGCAAATGAGGTCCTTTTAAATTCTTCTTACACCGAGTGTCCCGAGCGAACTCATCATGACAGCACATAATCAAAAAGGCAAGTCACTCTGTATTGGACGATTTATGCAAAAGGGAAAAGAAGGTATGTCCCTATTTAACCCCAGATTACAGCTCCATCCAGCACAATCCTAAAAGTTCCCAAATATAGTTCAGAGTCGGCTGGAGACCTCTCGGGTGAGTGAGCAGATTAGCTTGGAGCTGATGACAAAACCTAACAAGTAACAGTTGCATATGACAACATGAACAGCAAACACAGAAGTGTATGCATAAACACATATATTTATTTTTATTGGAAAACACTGATACATATTTCACATATTATCCATACAGATTTCACGTTGAGTATTCCGTCCGGTCGCTCAATTTCAAACCCTGCGCACGCAAAACTGTCCAAACAGTCCAGAAAGGAGTAAGATATGCTATGTAAAGAAAGCTCTTCCAGAGGAGTAATAAATTTCAGCTAGAAAAAAATAACCCAATTATTAGACCAATAACAAGCCCTTCATAGTCTTACTAGCAACATAATTCGATACACTTGTCTTTTAGCTCCTCAAAATAACCAACAATCGACAGTTTCACCTTTATCGGTCGTCTTGCAAAGCAGAGTGCAAATGAAATTTGGAGCACTTGACAACAAGAGGTTCTGACAAATCCACGAGAACAAGAGACAAATGAGCCGTAAAGCAGCAGCAGCAGGTTCCTCTTCTGTGGTTGAATGTATAATCTACACCAAAGTGCAAATATATATATAGATATTTGTGTGTATATTCATAGACTGATAACACTTATTTGACTATAAGATCTCTTGCAAGAAAGTTGAAGCTTACGAGTATTATGGCACATTTCAAGACCATGGATCAAACAAAAGTCACAGACCTGACTAGAATAACAATAGGCAATGCAAAGTTTTACCAGACGTTAATATTGGAGAACAGTACATTTATAAAGCAGAACACTGATAGCATTATGATTACCTATGTAACTATATATTTTACAGTTATACTATTTGTGTTACTCCGTCACATCTTGATTCTGCTATACATACTTTGCATCTCCACGCTCCCACAAAGTTTGAAGTCATCAGAGACAAAACCCACATTAACATAAAGGTTTAAACCAGCTGACGGAAACCACTGGCTCCAAGTACATGCCTTATAGCCCAGAAAGACACTTTTCAAGTCGTACGCCGCCATTAAACCGCAGTTATACAGAGTATGAGCATGACGTCGGGTTTTTACAATATGTACGTCTTCATAAACATCCAGTTTTTGTTGTGTTTGGAGTCTTAAACGGGAGAAGGCAATGCGCAAAAGCATGACTTCACCACAGGGGTCACACGCAGTGGTTTTTGCTCAGTTTGTATTGAAGGCAACACTGTGACCCTGGACTATTTACCACAATGTTTTAGCATTATTTTTATTATAATTATTATATGTATTTTTTATTTTAATTTACTCTATTTTTCAGCGATGAAGAACACTCATGAAAGGAGATGCTCTCTGCATTTAAACTGCCATATTAGGCATGGATTTGTCAACTCGTGCGACTAAAGTGACGTCCTGTCCTCAATTTTTGTCAGGTCTGGAGACGTTTGCTCCAAAAGGGCTCATGCAGTTATGCTTAGTCCATTCACTTCTGCTGGGACAATTCTGCTAGTATTTTTCACAAATTGAATTTGAAATTTGATTAGCTTTTTTTGGTAAGAGATCACAGAATTTGAAATTCTAATACTCTCTGAAGAAAACTTTAGATTTTTTTTCTTTTTAACGACAGTGATCTTAGTAGGACAAGCAATGTAAGAGAGAAAGATATAGGATATGACAATCCTTCACTTTGCAGTCATCATCTGGACAAACTCTGTGAAGACAGAAAAACAGATAATAGTAATTCAAATGATTCCTGACATTGACCAATGTGTAAAAAAAAAAAAGGATTTTCTATTCTCAAATAATCTTAAGGCTTATTATGAAATAATTTTGGAATGCACCGTATTGGAATGTGCTGGAACCTAGTTTCACCAACGTTAGGCCAAACATTTTCTAGCAGCTTCTAGCATTTTCTAGCCATCATTTAAGGACTGTTTTACTATGTAACAATTTGTGTGTGTGTGTACGTACTTATTTATGCTACATTGATAGTAAAACCTGACATTTTTGACATTGTGGGGACCCTGCAGTCCCCACAAAGGAAAACAATATAAAAAAATAGTAGATGATCTTTATCTGAAAGTGTAACAATTCAAACAGGTTTTCTGTAAGGGGTAGGTTTAGGGTTAAGGGATAGAAAATATAGTTTGGTCAGTATAAAAGTAATGGAAGTCTATGGAAAGTCCCCACATGATCAAAAATACGTACTTATAAATGATAATGTAAAAATATTGTTAAATTATATATTTTATATTATATTTATATAATAAAGTTATCCATGTTGAAAACAGTAATACTGTTTAATATGTTTTTTAGAAACAGTGATACAATTGTTTCAGGATTCTTTGATAAATAGAAAGTTCAAAAGAACAGCATATATTTGAAACTGAAATCTTTTGTAACATTATAAATGACTTTACTGTGACTTTCGATGCATCCTTGCTGAATTCAAGTATGAATTTTCTTTTTACATTTTTTAACCAGTGAGAAAATATACAGGATTAGCAAAATGGCTATAGTAAAAAGGATGCATGTCTGATGCTTGCCTAGCAAACACCACTAATTATCAGGTACAAGTCCCTTCTATTTTTAGATACATCACCCATGTACTGTCACTGCATTTCATTACACCATCACATTCTAGAACTGACGTGTTAAACATTCAATGCAGGTGTAAAGAATGAACGCAAGTCAAAACACTTTCTCCAATTAAAAATAGATTTAAACAACAGTGCAAATGAACAACTTCTAACCTCACCATTGAAAACAATCCAAATAAATTGTTTGTTTAATGCCATTTTGGTCACATAATACAATTTTCACAAAAAAAAAGACGATAAAATCAACTTTCCTGAATGAATGACAAAATGTGCTACAGCAGCTCACCTTCATAGTTGACCTGACCGTCTCCATCAATATCTGCCTCTCGGATCATCTCATCCACTTCCTCGTCTGTCAACTTCTCGCCCAGGTTGGTCATGACGTGACGGAGCTCAGCTGCACTGATGTAGCCGTTTCCATCCTGAAATGAGATTATTATATGCACAATAGCTTCATGATTTTTGTGATGTAGTGTAAATACTCCTTTTGACCTCCAGGTTGATGTTAAATTAAAAAACCTAGTAAACTGGACATCTGTAAACGTTAACAGTACAGTATCTACTGGAAACTGCTGAAATGCTATGCAGTTCCAACACGCCTACAAAACACTGTTCAAACCAGGGATGTGCAAGAGCACTGGCTCTGCACCAACCAATCAGCTACTGCACACACTAATGAAATTACTCAGACTGATTTCCCTTTGCCTGTCACGAGCATCAATTTCCCACTGAAACCCTCCTAAATTTCTCTGTCACATCTGAATGCACTGGCTGTCACTGTGGATATGCGATGTTGAGATGGTGAGAAGTGATGGCGTGTGTTTTCAGACACATACAAATGTGCGGCAATATTTTGATTTTAATGGGTATATTAGCTCTTCTCACTGGATGAGGATCCACTTTTATGGTGAAAAAGTTGCGCTTCTAGAAACTTGTAACTTGTGCCCTGAAATACTCTCGGCAAAGTTCTTCGTTATTGTTCTTTGCTCGGGGTACAAATGTTTTAAATAGCTGTGCAACTTTATGCTGTTTGCGAACATCCCAACGTGTTTAGATGAGTAGAGCACTCCAGTGTATTCACATTTTCACTGGTGTCTGCTCTTGACTAGGGAAGCATCGATCCGATACTCAGTATCGGTATCGGCTCCGATACTGACATTTTTCTGCCAGATTGGGTATCGGTTAGACAAGACTGATCCAAATCCGATATTGTGCGTATACTATTCTGTGTTATTGTTAAGCCCCACGAAAGGCACAAAAACATTATAAAGCACCATAAAGTTTTCGTGCACTATATTTTAAGTGTTCTGAAGCCGTTCCATAGTTTAATGTGAAGTATAGATGAATATTTAAGTCAAGTTCATGTAAACTCTTCTCCCCGCTGCGTCTGTCTGTCATTCTCCATTCAGCATTCAAACTGCGTGTCACGTTCGGTTACTACAGTCAAGACGATGAAACTCTCTTCAAGAGCGCACAATAACTGAGATTTAAAACTGTTAAAAGAAAAGGCTCAATAAAATATTGCACAGATATAATATACTACGCATCAATATCTCTTCCCTTTTTTATGCGGAGCGCTGCACGCTGTGACTCAGTGCTGCTTCATGCGCATCATTCTGCACACGGGATGTGCATAAGCGCTTTGTGCCGCTCTGTATTGGAGGCATACCCTTTCGTATTATACTTTTGCGCAATGAAAGATTATTAATAGTCTTTTTTGTTCTGTTCTAGCTATCATATGTTGTTGCCTTCTTTAATTTTATAGTATATATATACACAGTGGTGTGAAAAAGTGTTGGCCCCCTTCCTGATTTCTTATTTTTTTGCATGTTTGTCACACTTTAATGTTTCAGATCATCAAACAAATTTAAATATTACACAAAGATAATGCAAGTAAATACAACAGGGTCAGCAGGGCCTTCTCTGCTGGCTCTATAAAAAATAAAATTGTGTGAAAAATTTTTTTTTTTTAATTATTATTATTTAGGTATCATTTTGATTTGTGCAATGTCCACAAAATGGCCTATGATTAGTTTTGTTGAGGTTGAACTGGAATGTCCTACATAAAAAAAGTCTACTGCCAGCACTACAGATAGTGCTACCCTTTTGTTCAAAGACGTCGCATCTGATTTGTAACGAGGATTTTTTTTAATTATTATTATTTAGGTATCATTTTCATTTGTGTAATGTCCACAAAATGGCCTATGATTAGTTTTGTTGAGGTTGAACTGGAATATTCTACATAAAAAAAAGTCTGCGGCCAGCACTACAGATAGTGCTACCCTTTTGTTCAAAGACGTCGCATTGATTTGTAACGAGCATTAGTGACGGAATCATCAGCCAATCAAATTTTGACGTTCAATGACAGCACGCCCTCTGGGTCTAGCGACGTGCCTAGTGCTACCCCCAGCGTTTAGTTGGGAATTTCCAAGGTTTGAAAGTGAAATTCAACGAAAAGAAAATGACAGCCGCAGGCGCCTACACCAGATCTTGTTGCCGATCTACTAAAAATGCCCTTTTCAAGGCGCTCTTTTGCAGACAAAAGAGGAATAACTAAGAAAGGAAGACCTACACCCAAACTGAATTCGCTAACAAAGGTTCTGTGCACCATTTCAAAGATTGCAACTATGAGTGCTATGAGTCTAACAGCTAGCACCGAGCACAACATGTTATTTGGCCATGTTTACTTTTTAATACGAGTAAAGGGACACGGAATGACAGACGCATGGACTTTATTTACAAGTGACAAGTTAGTGCTTTATTATTTGACGAGTATTGTATCCTGCACATTGTTATGGAGGTGTACGAGGTGCGTTGATAGTGCTGCTGTGGGTGCGTCGTCATTTTAGAGTGACGTGAATGTGCATAGTGACCCGTGTATTGGTGGATTACTTTTACTGATCCATGTAGGGAACTTTACTCTGCATTTAACCCACCCTAAAAAATCGTGCAGTGTGAACTCGGCATTAGCTGTAACAGAGATGTGTAAGATAGATGTGTAAGGATATGTTGTTTACAGTTGCTTACTGAAGGCCCTGACTGAAACCCCATGGTATGCCACTGCACATTTTATTTATATATATATATATATATATATATATATATGTTTAGTTTAATGTTTTTATAAAATTATTGTGCACCCATGATTTTTCTAGAATAACTTTTGCTGCGGAATTATCCACCAAGCTACTTTATAATAGTATTTTCTGTCATAGATTATGATTATATATTTGTTAATTTGTCATTTAATTATCAGCGGTAAAGTTACTCTCACAGGACACTGTACTTAATCGCAGTCACAAAAGTACATTATTTGCATCTGCTTTAAAGCCCTGCCGGTTAAAGGTTTCATTCGCACACTGGTCTGACGTGTGCTTTTTCTGAGCGCCGCGTACACCTGAAGCGCGCACACTAAAAAGCCTGTCAAACAGCACCTAATTATTAAGTTATCTTTTGCATAATATTATCAAAACACACAAGGTTTACATATATATGTTTACGCTTTTGAGATGGCGGTGCGTGCACACGCTGCGTTGAAATTGTTGATCAGCTGTCATTGTTGTTGAGTGCCTGTGTGCGGCATAATATGCGCGCATCATATGCATATGGCTGCGTTATGCCGAGTTCACACTGCACGATTTTCAAACTCGTCGGATCGCCGTTGTTTTCACACTGCACGACTATCTGGGGTAGCATTCAGTTGCTGCTGTGTTCACATTGCACGATGGATCAGGTTTCATTCGCACACTGGTCTGACGTGTGCTTTTTCTGAGCGCCGCGTACACCTGAAGCGCGCACACTAAAAAGCCTGTCAAACAGCACCTAATTATTAAGTTATCTTTTGCATAATATTATCAAAACACACAAGGTTTACATATATATGTTTACGCTTTTGAGATGGCGGTGCGTGCACACGCTGCGGCTTCTCTCTCTTCCGACAGAACGGTGTTTTCGTGTTTTTTATCTTGTGAGTCGCAGTGTTTTTGTACGTATTCGTCGCGTCTATCTGTCTCTAAGCACGCATACAGTCGTGAGTTTCTGCTCGATGTCGGCAGAACCACATTTTTAGAGTTAAACTCTGCGCACGCCGAAGAGCTGCGGGATCTCAGCCTGCTCCGGAGGCCCACACCATCACCGACCCCCACTACTGCATCTCGCCCACAGCGGAGGCGCCACAAGCGGCGTGAGAGGAAGCAGAAGAGGGGTAAGCACGGAGGTATCCGGGCTAGGCTAGCGGCTAACCCACACAAGCCAGCTATCCCCACCATCGTACTGGCTAACGTACGCTCTTGGGATAATAAACTGGACTTTATCCGACTACTACGCTCAACTCAGAGGACTGTAAGAGACTGTTGTGTTTTTGTGTTCACGGAAACATGGCTCAGCAACAGCGTTCCGGACTGCGCTATTCATCTCGATCAGCTGACATGCTATCGAGCGGACAGAGCTCGCGTCGAGGGAGGTAAGACCCGCGGCGGAGGGCTTTGTGTTTACATCAATGACGTGTGGTGCCGCGATGCTGTTGTGGTCTGCAAACACTGCTCACCCCTGGTGGAGTTTATGATTATTAAGTGCCGGCCGTTCTATCTACCGAGGGAATATACAGCCATACTGCTCGTTGCTGTATACATCCCTCCCAGCTCCAACAACAGCAATAGGAGCGAGGCACTAAATGAACTGTACCAGCACATCAGTGAGCAGCAGACAGCCCACCCTGATGCTTTTCTCATCTTGGCTGGGGATTTCAACCACGCAGACTTAAAGAGTGTGTTCCCAAAAATACACCAACACATAGACTTTCCAACACGGGGAAACAACACTCTGGACTTTGTTTACACCACACAGAGAGGAGCTTACAAGGCCCTCCCCCTCCCCCACCTCGGTGCCTCAGACCACATCACTGTCATGCTAATGCCTGCATACAGACCACTCGTTAAAGTCACCAAACCAGTTCACAAACTGATACAAGTGTGGCCGGAAGGGTCGTCAGAGGCTCTTCAAGACTGTTTTAACACCACTGACTGGAATATGTTTAAGCAGGCTGCCACATACAATAACACCACAGACCTCCAGCTCGATGTCGGTAGAACCACATTTTTAGAGCTAAACTCTAAAAACTCTAAAGAGCTGCGGGACCTCGGTCTGCTCCGGAGGCCTACACCATCACCGACCCCCACTGCAGCACCTTGCCCACAGCGGAGGCGCCACAACTGGCGCGAGAGGAAGCAGAAGAGGGGTAAGCGCAGAGGTATCCGGGCTAGGCTAGCGGCTAACCCACACAAGCCAGCTATCCCCACCATCGTACTGGCTAACGTACGCTCTTTGGACAATAAACTGGACTACATCCGACTACTACGCTCAACTCAGAGGACTGTAAGAGACTGTTGTGTTTTTGTGTTCACGGAAACATGGCTCAGCAACAGCGTTCCGGACTGCGTTATTCAGCTCGATCAGCTAACATGCTATCGAGAGGACAGAGTTCTCGTCGAGGGAAGTAAGACCTGCGGCAGCGGGCTTTATGTTTACATCAGTGATGCGTGGTGCCGCGATGCTATTGTGGTCTGCAAACACTGCTCACCCCTGGTGGAGTTTATGATTATTAAGTGCCGGCCGATTGGCACCTCAGACCCCTTTGTAACGGACACAAAGACCATCATAGTCCGGGTCAACCAGAAGCCGTGGCTAACAGGGGAGGTCTACAGACTCCTGAAGACGTGGAACACTGCCTTCAGAGCTGGAGATGTTTGAGTGAGTAAATGATGGTATAAAAATAAAACACTATGACACAATTGACAGACAGATGACAGAATTTTTATTTTTGGGTGAACCTTTAACGATAATAAAACAACAAAATGCAAAGAGAAAAATCACTCACTATTCTTGACTGAAGATCTTTAAAACAGTTGTATTAGGAATCAGTCTATATAGTGTTTTATTTTTATATTTGTTCATTCAATTTCTTAAATGCTCCTGCTAAATACACCTATTGTACCTGAAAATAAAGCAGTTTGTTTTATTTGTATATTATGTGTAGTTGTAATGTGTATCTTTGTTCTTATTTTTTAATAACAAAGATAAAATAATGACAAAGATTTTTATCTTCGCCCATTTTGGCCAAAATATCTGCCTTTTTTTAATTTTATTTTGTTACCTTGAAAGGCTTTGTCTTTATAATAGGGAAATTAGTTTGACTGTTATGCTCAGACAACTTGCAAAATAGTAAAACCAACATGACAAAGAATCGTTATAAAATCGTGAATCGTGATAGTTCTAAAAAATAATTAGAGAATGCAGCATAAATCCAAATCGCCCACCCCTATCATGGACCAATGGCAGTTCGAAGAATGTTTTTTCAAAAAAACAAAGATGTTTTTGACAAAATTTCGCACTGGCGAGCTGTTTTGAACTATTGAAACAAACTCCAAAGCACCTTTGTTTTTTGCCTTTTTTTTCACCTGTTCGTAACGTATCAGTCAATTTTGCTTCAAGCATATCGGAACCTTAAGAACTTTCATCTCTTCTTTTTCTGAAGGACACATGAAACATTAAAAATGTGATTTCATTTATATATTATATTGATTGCTTTTAATTTATTTTATTTGGTTATGTTTGTGTTCAAATATCTGACTACAAAATATTCATCCCAAGTTCAAAGCAAGTGGAGAAGCAATCAAGAAAACCCAAAATCAACTCAAGCCGTTTCAAGCACTCTCTGCCAACGGCCTGCTGCAGCTTGTGCCCACATGGTGAATAATCTCACCCACTGTCCGGAAAACACACCTGCGCAGTTCTTACGTAAACGCTTCACAGCAGCTACACGGTTTCAAAGTCAGCGGGTTGCCTGGATGACTAGTTGACTGGTCATTTTCAAGGAAGCCTTGCATATTTCAGCTGGTTTTGGTTCACCTGACCCTGAGAAGTAGGTCAGAAGTGTTCTTGTGTTCAAAAGCAGCTACCCTGAACCTTCATTAAGATTCTTCAAGATTACGTTTCATGAATCAGTTCAGTGCTTCATCAGGTTTCAAGTTCATGGCAGCTGCAGTTAATGGTGACATTTCCTCACCTTGTCAAAGACTCTGAAAGCTTCTCGGATTTCCTCTTCACTGTCCGTGTCCTTCATTTTCCGTGCCATCATGGTTAGGAACTCCGGGAAGTCTATAGTTCCGTTGCCTGTGGACAGATCATGTTGTTGCCATTTACCACAAGATTAAATGAAAAGTAAAAAAAAAAAAAAAAAACTTCCACCAGTGCAACTGCATGAGGCAGTAGACTTCAATATCTTTCAAAGCTTCAACTTTTGCAAGCTTATGTCAAGATCTTCCAGAGAAGCCTGCCAATTTCTAAACAAAACCTTGTTACCTGCTGGCCAGATATAAACCTGTACACGCCTGGTTCTCAAAGGATGCCTGTAGCTTTCAGCAAATCAGAATGCACTTCCTGACAGCTCTTGCCATTTTGATGTGTAATATGTATCGGGAGGTCCAAGAACGGCTCTCTATGGGCATGTTGACTGAGAATGAGACCAACCATCTTAGCACTTTTGGACTCACAGGGCGATCTTCGCCAATGCTAATCTGCCATCCTGAGAAAGACACTTAACACCAGCTTGATCTAGGACGGGGTGTCCAATCCTGCTCCTGGAGGGCCAACGTCCTGCAGAGATTATCTCCAGGAAGTTTCCAGTAATTCTGAAAACCCTCATTAGCTGGTCCAGGTGTATTTAATTATGACTGGAGCTAAAGTCTGCAGTATAGTGGACCTCCTTGAGCAGGATTGGACATAAGAAGCCACATAACTTTACCTGACTAAAATAAAGCACTTATTGTATCAAACAGAAAAGATCTTACCATCAGCGTCTACCTCGTTGATCATATCCTGGAGCTCAGCCTCAGTGGGGTTCTGACCCAATGAGCGCATCACTGTACCCAGCTCTTTGGTGGTAATGGTGCCATCGCCATCTTTGTCGAAGAGTGAGAACGCCTCCTTGAACTCTGTTTTGAATTACAAACATGTAAGTACAGTACATGTACTTTTTTGAAGTCTAAGCAACTCTTAAAACAGGGGGTAAGGTACTACTTTTGCAATAAATAGCTTTCAGTATAGAATACTACTAGCAGTATATAAACTTTTCAGTTGTTATTATGGATGTCACGATGCACTCCAAGCCAGTTGAAAATCGATAAAAATGTGTGATGATTTTGTGATGAAGTTGGTTGAGATGTTCATTTAATTGTGAAACGTTTGGGAGTGGGGGTTTATATGAACGAATCTCTGAGTGGAACTGTCTTCACTCTCATGAAGCCCATATGCTGTTTTTGTTTTGTTCAGATATTTTATATAGTATAGTTTCACAAAGCTTAAGTCAGATCATTCCGTTTTTGCTTCAAATTTTGGAATTGTACAATCAAATTTAAATTAAAAAACACTCAAGATTCACGTAAAGCCGGGCTCACACTACAGGATTTTTAGCCCGATTTAGCCCTGATTTTCCCCTCCGGAGAATCGGAGCAAAAATCTCGTCGAGCACCTTGACCGGTCCCGATGTTCGGCGTGGATTATCTGTAGGGGTGCGCCGATCCGATACTCGGTATCGGCTCCGATATTGGCATTTTCTGTCGGACCGGTTATCGGTCAGAGGAGACCGATCCATATCCGATATTGTGTGTATACTATTCTGTGTTATTGTTAAGCCCCACGAAAGCCACAAAAACAACATAAAGCACAATAAAGTTTTCGTGCACTATATTTCAAGTGTTCTGAAGCCGTTCCACAGTTTAATGTGAGGTACAGATGAATATTTAAGTCGTTAAATTCAAGTTGATGTAAACTCTTCTCTTCGCTGCGGCTGTCTGTCATCTTGCACCTCCTGATCTACTCGCACACAAATCGGGGCTGCCCCGATTAATATCAAACATGTTTGATATTTAGGATTTAAGTTAGGATGATGATGACTATATGATTACGTCAGTACTTTCACAATAGCCAATGCATGAATGCAAAACAGCTGCTTTACGGCTCCGTTGGATAGTGGAGACGGAGGAAACTGCTACTTGACGTTTTGTAGTAACACGACTGTCTGAATAATGTGTCGAAAACGTATCACAACCGTAAGGGGAAATGAGTGCAGAAAGCTGCTAGCACGCTAGCTAACATATGTAAACATAGCTGACAAGCTGCTGCGTGAGATGAGGCGCTCGCTCCCTCTGGCATGATAATATTAATAATATCTTGTAGTGTGTGATGCGCCACGATTTTCAAATCTTGTAGTGTGTGCATGTTTAAGATTTAAAGGAAGATAATCTGCAAAGATTCTCCTTATGTGTGTGCTGCAACCAGATTTCATAATCAGTTAGGATTTTAAAACTCCTGTAGTCATAGCCCGCCTTAAGCAGCAGCTTTGTTTGGATCGTGATTAAAATGCAGTGGTTGCCTCTAATTTTAAATGCAAAGAGCACAGGCAAAGCCTAATGCTGGGTACACACCACAAGATAATCGGGCTGATTTTGGGCCGCTTTGTCCCCTTCCGACAATCCTAGGTAATGTCCCGATTATCTTGGTGGTTCTAAAGATTATCTTATCAGATTTTCCTGTGGTGTGAGTGACTAAGAGTTACTGAATCTGCTCAGAAGAACGACAGAGGCGCCCCGATCTTGAATTTTAAATATTCAACATGTTGAATATTTACGATCAGAAATCCTGATGTGTGGGAACCCCGAGGACACCACACACAATAGGAGCAAAACGGTTAAATCTAGGATTTTTTGTCCTCATGTTTGTGGTCTCTCACATTTTGAAGATCTTATAAGACTTTAAAAATATTTTAGTGTGTTCCCAGCATTAGTTAGTTTATATGAAGAGATTTCTTTTATACGCGTTATTTATTTATTTGATTTGGGGTTTGTTTTAAAATTTCAGTTTAGTTTTGTTGTTTGACATTTAAATTTCACAAAGAAATTTAGTACAGCATTTTGTTTGATAAATAATAAAAGGACACATTTTCATTTATAATTTTTCTTAAATCTCAATTTGTTAAAGCAGCACTATGTAACTTTTGGCGCTCTAGCGGTTAATAAACAGAACTGCACTCATCCCGCGGAAGAACATTCCAACCGGAGCTACTTCTCTAAGTTTATGTCTATGGCGATTCACGCAGGTATGTGTTACTCCGCAGCGGTGACGACCCGACCAGGCTACAATAGTCCAAATATAAGTACTTATTATAAGTGTACTGTAGTGATTCGGAATAAGACAAAAACATGGTTTGGAAGATTAATTCATGATGTACTCGCTCATTATATACATTTTGCAAATTTTGAACACAGAAAGTTACATAGTGCTGCTTTAAAAGAGAAAATTGTATTGTGAAATCAGTACTGTGAATTCTATCACATTGTGACTTGAGTGAATCATTACATCCCTAGTTTTTATTAAAAAAAAATACTGTGAGAAAATATGGCAGTGGAATCAAATGAGTCAAGAAAGAGATTTAAAAATAAAAAAATAAATTAAAAAATAAAAAGGGGGTGCAGTTGATATTACTTCCTGTATGTCTAATTCACTGGAAATGATAAATCAAGATGACAGTGCATTGCATTGTAGGACACAGAAATCCATGTACTAACCCTAAAGCTCAAAGTATACTTTAGTTTTTTTGTTTTTTTTTAACAGGTACTCTAGTGTATACATCCAGTTGAAAACGTAGCCTTTCAAAGTATTCTCCATTTGACGCAGGCGGTCGACATATGCACTCTAGCCATTTTCATCTTTGTACACTGTCTGCACTATTTTTCTCCAGAAGTTATGGCAGATAAAAATATCTTTGTACTTTTTTAAACTAAAAAAAACAAAACAAAATTGGGCAGTGTGTGCACCCTCGCATGTGTGTAAAAACCGAAGTATACTTTGGGCTTAACCTTCTTGCACATTTTGGGAAGTAGGTCATCTGGGCACTCGGTGTATAAAGAAAATTTGCATACTAACAAAAGTACACTATAAAGTGTGAAAATAGCATGGTAGTGTGCCAATCACAACCACTGTCTTGTTTAGCACTTCGCCTCATTTAAAAAGCTACAGCATTAAAGCAGAAAATTACAAACCCCCCATTTAGGCCAAGATATTATCACACTTTTAAAATTCTCTCATATATCCAGAATTAAAATAAAAATTACACTTGCTAAAGGACAGAAAATCAAAAGAACAAATAGAATGTCAGTTTATATCTTTTCAAAATCCGCTTTGTTGTTTTAATCATTTTAAGTCATATTGCGGCCCCCTTGGAAGTGCGCTAAGACTAGGGGTCGACTGATTACCGGCGCCGATATTAAGCATTTTTATGATTATCGTATCGGTCATTTTCAAAACCGATTCGCCAATAAAATAACTTAAAGGAGACATATTATGCCCCTTTTTACAATATGTACAGACGCATCTCAATAAATTAGAATGTCGTGGAAAAGTTAATTTATTTCAGTAATTCAACTCAAATTGTGAAACTCGTGTATTAAATAAATTCAATGCACACAGACTGAAGTAGTTTAAGTCTTTGGTTTTTTTAATTGTGATGATTTTGGCTCACATTTAACAAAAACCCACCAATTCACTATCTCAACAAATTAGAATACGTCATAAGACCAATGAAAAAAACATTTTTAGTGAATTATTGGCCTTCTGGAAAGTATGTTCATTTACTCTACATGTACTCAATACTTGGTAGGGGCTCCTTTTGCTTTAATTACTGCCTCAATTCGGCGTGGCATGGAGGTGATCAGTTTGTGGCACTGCTGAGGTGGTATGGAAGCCCAGGTTTCTTTGACAGTGGCCTTCAGCTCATCT